ATCTACCTCAAAGGGTTTTTGGGAGGCTCAAAGAAGACTTCTCACTCTAAAGTATACTCGCTGTTTATTGGGATTTTAGTTTTTAATAGATTTTTATATAAGAAAGCCTAGCTGAGCAGACCACGTTCTCTATCCATGGTCTCAGTTGTTCATCTTGATAGTCATGAGCATGAATCAGGCTCCACTAGTTGGCCCCCTCCTAGGCTTCAGGTGGTGTCTAGGAGGAAAGAGCCTCCAAAGGGTAGCCACAGAACCCCAATGGGGGATGAGGAGTTGAGTGTCCCAGGAGTTTGTTCTTAGACCTGTTCTACTGCCACTTTTAGCAATGATTTGGATGAAGGCTTAGATGGCATGCTTATTGATTCTGCAAATGAAACCAAAACTAGTAGAATCAGAGAACATACTAGATGACAGTCAGAATCTCTCCCAAAAGTCCAACAAGTGCTAATCAGGGGCTGATTGAAAGACAAAATTAAACATAGATAAAGCTAAAGTCCTACCCTTGCGTTAAAAAAAATACCAACTGTGCAAATACAGAATAGGGGAGGAATGGGTAGACAACATGCAAACAAAACAAACCTAGGGGGAAGGATTTAGTCGACTGTAACTCAATGAGTTGGGAAGGTGACATAGCAATCAATAAGGGAACTTCAGGTTGCTTGGATTACTGAAGCACCGAGGCATGGACAGCATCAAGTGCCCTAGAGAGGCGACAGACCCAATGTCCTCTACTTTGATGGGACCCACAAATGGAGTATTGCGGTCAGGTCACTGATATTTGGAAGCCCATTCTGAGGAAACAATGAATTTGGTAAGAAGATGAGAGCACCGAAGGAATTAAGGATGTTTCCTCTAGAAAAGGCTCAGGGGCAACATAATACGTCTCTTCAGTGCTTGAAGGGCGGTCATACAGAAGAGGAATTAAAACTTTCTTAGCCTGACCCCAAGAAGTTAGAATAAGGAGCAATGGGAGGAAGTTGCAAAGAGGCAGATTTAAGCTCAGTGTAAAGAAAAACTCAGAAAGAAAAAAACCGGAGATATCAGGAAGGAGGTAAAACCAGCTGTCTAGGGAGGTAATGAGTTTCCCTTCATTTGTCATCTTCAAGGACGTCTTTTGTTGTTCAGTTGTGTCTGACTCCTTGTGACCCCATTTGGGGTTTTCTTGGCAAAGACACTGGAGTGGTTTGCCATTTCCTTCTCCAGATCATATGACGGATGAGGAAATTGAGGCAAACAAGGTAAAGTGACTTGCCCAGGGTCATACAGCTAGTACATATTTGAGGCTGCATTTGAACTCAGGTCTTCCTGACTCCAGGCCCTTTTACTATGCTACCTACCTGGCTCTCGAGGAGAGTCAAGATAAGAACAGTTACTAGGGCAGGACAGTCCCAGGGTGCTGAAATCTGGACAGGCTGATATTAGAAGTCCTTTAGTAGGTTAAAATAAGGTCATTTGACTCTTTCTGTATCCCCAGTACTTAGCACAGTGTCTGGGGCATAGTAGGCCTTAATAAATATTTACTGACTGACCTAACATCTACATAATAATGATAATTAAAATAGGCAATTGCTGGCTAGTGGACAGGTGACCAAAGCCCAGATGGGTCCTTCTTGGGCCTGTAAGTGCCCATTTCTCTCCTCTCCTCAGCACCGAGCGTGTCTCAAGCCTCTTTCACTGGACGCCCAGATGGTTAGTTACAGATCTGAGGACATCTGCCTGTTAGTAAAGTTGTAGAGTGGGATACCTTTTTAGCTGGGGGTCAGAGTAGATAATAAAAACAGCTGACATTTATATAGCACTTACTATGTGTCCAGCACTGTGCTAAGCCCTTCACAATTATCTCATTTGATCCTCACCAACAACCCTGGCAGGTGGGCGCTATTATTATTTTCAGTTAAATGATTTGCCCAGGGTGATACAGCTAGGAAGTGTCTGAGGCAGGATTTGAACTCTGTGTCCTGCCTCCAGGCCCAGCACTTCATCCACTGTTAGAGAGCAAATTTCTCCACTTGGTAATTAGGTACAGAAGTCACTCAGCCTCAAAGGGACATAATGAATCACAAACCTCCCCCAAACTGCCTGGGTTATTGACATTAGCCTTGAAGAATGACAGATCTGGTTTAAATCCTGCACTAACCAGACTCCAAAGCATGATCTCTTCATTGTTTTGTGTTCCTTCTTTGCCAAAGCTTCTGAAGGGGGTGGGGGTGGGGGAAGGGGGCGGTACAATTCCCTCTTTGCCCTGAGCTTCCTCCCTCATTTCATCTTTCAGGACCTTCTTCCTAGTTCTCCATCCTTACCTTTGAGTCCCTAGCCTCTGCCTCTGCCTCTCCTGCCAGTCCAGGCTCCTCAGGAATCCTCACTCCTGGTCGGCTTCATCATCCCTCCTCAGCAACAGGTACCATGGGTTCAGAGGAAGAAGAGGGGGCTAGATACATCCCAGCAAACTACTGAACTGTGAAGTGAATTCCATTTAATAAGCAAAACATTACTAATCACATCGGGCTGGGGAGGTGTGTTGGTCAGAGTGAAATTTTGCTCTTCTCTTAAACAAAAATGCCTTGAACTCTTGATAGGAAATAAGTTGCTGAAAGGGGAAGAAAAGGCATAAAAATAAATATTGTGGCAGAGTGCTGCATGGAACAAAAACCATGCTCCATCACCACTTCATTCTCTTGGCCAAAGTAAGAGGTAAATAACTTCCACCTGAGCACAAGAGCCCTGCCCAGCAAAAACAGCACGATTTTATTATCTCCTACTACATGTAAAATAACTAGAAAGATTTCGACTGCTTCCCTCCTCCCCATCATCCCCTGCAAGTAAGTTGGCTTGCAAAATGAATACAGGACTAATTTGAGTTATTTGCCTCCTTTTTTTTTTTATTATTATTACGAGACAGTAAGTCTCTCACACAGAGTACGGAACAAAGGGAGTCTAGGTGGCCGGTTTTCCAGGGTTGAGCGAGAGACAGTGGTGCAGGGGTGAGCCTGGATGAGGAGCCAGGCCGACTCATGCATCTTGGCTCCCAGCCTCCACCACCCCTCAGGCTGGCAATCTAGTTCTGGTAATCGTCCCTCTCGCCAGCATTAGTTGGAGGCTTTGACCCCAGCTGTGTTGCTGGCCCAATGAATCTCTCCACTGTGTGGTTAATTAAAAAAGAGAGACAGAAAGAAAATGACTTGTTGGGGCACCAACTAGCTCTTCTTAGGCTCAGGAGAACATCAGCTCAGCGAGGCCCCATGGTAGAGGAGGGGGACAGTTTGGCAGCCTGGCTGTGTCTGCTGCCTCCCTTGACTCCTTGGGCTGCTGAGCTCCAGAGCTATGCTTTCTTCCTGCTGAAGCCCTTAAGTAACTCTTTTCCTATACTTTACTAAGGGTCCAAAAGTCCCACCCAGGCTCTGAGTCTTGGGGGGTGGGGGGAAGGTAGGGTGGCCCTGCCAAACTTCTCTTCTTGGTGCCTCCATGGGGAAAGGACAAGGATCAAACCTCCACACAAAGCGGTTCTGCTCACTGTTTTCAAAGCTGTGAACCGTTTTCCAAGCCCAACTTAAAGGTAACTTTTACTTAGGTTGATAATCAAATGATTTCATCTTTCTACAATGAGAGGTCTGCTGTTTCAGTTTTCAGATGGCTTCTTTCCCAAAGCCAGAGATCTAAGGGGAAAGTAGCTAAGAATATTATTCTGGGTATGCTCCACTGAGTGTTTTTGTATCTGACATACACCAATACTACGCATGCTTACTTAAAAGACAATTTCCATTGGAGCAGGAAAGGAGTCGTATGCCCTAGGGGGAGGGATAATGACTGACTAGGGAGCACTGGGTCCAGGTCCTGGCGCTGCCACTAACTAGGTCAGCACAGCAAGTGTCATGGCCTCTGGATGACGGGGCTCAACAGAAGATGACGCCACCTGCTCTAATCTTGTGGCTGCCGGGAGGCTCAAATTGGGTAACAGAGGAAAGGGGCTTTGACAGCAGAAAGCTCTATACGAATGGCAATTCTCATAATCTGACCTTTTTTTAGAGTGAGAAAAGCTGGTCAAAGGGTCATCTGAAAAAGCCAATAGGCCCAAAGTCACTCCGGACCTCTGATCCTGGAGCAAGGAGCTGTTGCTCCCAGAAAGACACCAAATGATATTAGGTTTGAAAAAAAGAGACTCATATCTAACATTACCTGCCTGGCACTTTGCTTTCTTGGTTGAAAAGAACACAGCAAGTTTAAACATCTTAAAAAAATGGTACTGGTTTGGATATTTCCCTTCTTTTCTCCCAAGTTATGATGAAGCCACATTCCTTTATAGCGCTTCTGAGATGAGGGAGCTGCACATGGTGGAGGCTGAAGTCAGATGGTGGCCAAGATGCCCCCACTGTCCCCAGTGCTTCCTTCAGGGCAGCTCCTTCCTGAGCATCCCCTCTTTGGCTGCATCAGTGGCTCAGTGCAGGGATGCAAACAGGAAGGCTTTCTCACCCCATGGGAAGAGAAACACATACTTTTTGTATTCAGAGGGATGTGGCTATTAGGGCCACCTCCAACACGAAGGCCTCTCGAATCCCACCCCAGCTACAACAGCCTTCCTTATACTTCTCACAGGTCTTTGTTCAGCTCTCTCCTTTGACCTCATCCCACCCTGATTCAGTTACTTGTGTACACGGCCGTTTCCCCCATTAGGCTTGATCCCTAGGAGGAGGGGTGGTGATGGTGGGGATCGCTGTAACCCCGGCCTAGCAGAGTACCTAACCTACAGTTTAACCAGTGTTCACTGAATGGATTGATCTTTCCCCCCTCCCTCCCAACTCCCTGAAAGCAACAAAATAAGTTGTGTTCAAAATTAACCTCTTCCCCCAATGACCAACACACAGCCAATCAATGCACGGGCATCCCCTGACCTCTACTCTACTTCCAGCTCAGAAAGCAGGGGCAGCTTTAGAGCAAGGAATCCTTTTCCTTCTTTGGGAGAATGATTTGCGTAGAAGCAAAGGAAAATAAATACACAAAGCTGGTTAAATGGAAGGAGGCCTCCTTGAAAGGTCACCAGATTTATATGCTTTTAAGTTTCATTTCCCTGAATACCTGTTCAGTCAGCTTGTTAACCTGGCTTTTTCTCATTTACCCATTCTGAGCAAAAACAAAACAAAAAACTCAAACAGAAAACCCCAAACAACCTCTTCTCCCCACCCCCCAAAAAAGTCCCTCTGAACACTTGAACAAGGAAGGAGTAAGCAGTATTATGCCAAGTTCATAAAGCATCAATTCTCTGGATAAGCTCTAGGTTTTTTGTTGAGAAATCAAATTAAAGGTCACATATCAGACTTTTATTCTTATTGTGTTTTTTGTCCTTTTCTTTTTTGTGCCACATTCTATACTTGGTGCTCTCCTACTATCTGGTATGAAATTTTAAAGTCAAAAACTATACAAGGTTAGATAATTCTCTGTAAGCCACAGTTCTAGAGTACACATAGGTCTGTCTCTTCCAGGAATAGGTAACTAGAAGAGTCACTTTGCATGGGGTGGGGTGGGGCAGGGAGCGGGGAAGGCCGGGTGCGGGCCCTCAGCCTGAATCCATTGTGAATAACTGGATGTCTTGTGGGTTCCAGTATAGGGCGACAGCCGAGTTGTACACGAGAGACCAGACGTAGGGAATGAAGAATTCCTCAGGCTGCTCCTCTTCCACGTACTTGAACTTCAGCTCTGGAAATTTCTGAAAATGGAATGAGATAAATGTAATTCTCTGTCACACTTGAAAACTTTCTGTTACCCCCGCCCCCAACCCCAAAATGATTTAAATGGAGTAAATGCCAAATCTGTAACATGTTCTCACCATCAACTAATGTGCCCTCTCACACGCTCCCACTGCACCGGGACAGAAGTGATAAGAAATATCGTTGTATGTAGGCAGAGTTGCGCGGTGTGATTTGTGGGCAGGATTCTCTACCTAAAAGTGTCTCCTCTACCATTAGAGAGTTATTCCTTAGGATCCTGTAGGCATTTTGGTTTTCAAGTACTCCTAGTGAAAATGTAAATACCTTTAGAGGGGTTCAATCACACTTTACTTCCTGGAGTCAGGAAGACCTGAGTTCAAATCCGGCCTCAGACACTTACTAGCTGTGTGTGACCCTAGGCAAGTCACCTAACCCTGTTTGCCTCAGTTTCCTCATCTGTCAAATGAGCTGGGGAAGGAAATGGCAAACCACTCCAGTATCTTTGCCAAGAAAACCTCAAATGGGGTCATAGAGTCAGACAAGACTGAAATGACTGAACAACAACAAAAGGGATTAGCTAGCTGAAAGCAAGAGCCTATGGAAATAAGTGAGACACAGGACAGGTACCTAAGAGGATGTGGGCATCAGGAGGAGGCAGAGAAAGGACAAGAAGGGGAAGCAGGTGAAAGCTCAAGTAAACATCATCGACTCCACAATTTAGATCTGGCTCTACCTGGTAGACATGTTATTCAGGGTGCAGTTGGCCTGGAGTTGGCAGACTTTCTTAGACTTGAATGAGGCTGAGACAAAATAGGAACTAAAACGCTCGAGATAAAGTTAGTGTAAACGTGGCAGTAGGTTGGAAGGCTGACAGGGTCTCACTGTATCACCTAGCACCCATCTAGGTCAGAGGCGCACTCGCTGCTACAGTTCTGGGTGGCTGTGAGGGAGGACTGCAGTGACCACTGCTTTTCAGGTGGGAAGGTGGTGATGATGGTGCTGGCTAGCTAGATGGCTGGAAGCGCTGGCACTGGTAGAAGAGCTCAAAGATAACCGATGTCCTCATTTTTCTGCCAGGCAATTTCTGTGTGAAAAAATCTGCATCTTTCAGTTCCAATTGTCTGACAAGTGAGAATGTGCGAGGTATAGCAGTCCCAAGGTGGCACTTAGATTTTAGCACCTGATCATGATTTGGGGCTTTTGATTTTCTATTTTTACTGCTAACCTACTTTTGCTAACTGAGTACAAACTAGAGCAGCTGGCTTTCCAGGCCTGGAGAATGTGGGGCTTTTCTCAATTGTCGCGTGTGGAGGCTGCGGTCCACCCAAGCACCACTGATCTTTGCCTAAGTATCTGGAGGATCAAGTTGAGGGAGGAGGGCTGTGGAGGAGTTCCAGACAAGGGGAGGAATAGCCCAGGTCACTTAATCCTGTTCCAGGCCCTGAAAGGTGGTGCAGCTTAGACTGTTGTGGGTGTTTGCGTAGGTCATTATTGGATAACTCAGTCCAAGGTGTGGGCCAGATCTTACTCCATTTAACTCTTTGTGGAGAATACCTGATTTTTAAATACTGCCCTAGATACAGAAAGGGGGAAGGGGGGAGGGAGGATATAAGCATTTGTATAGTGCCTACTATGTGCCAGGCACTGTGCCACTGAATGCTTTTACAAATAATATTTCTTTTGATCTTCACAATAACCTTTGGAGGAAGGTTCCACTGTTATTCTCATTTGATGGTTGAGGAAACTGAGGCAAAGAGCTATATGCCCAGGATCACATAGCTAGTAAATGTCGCAGGCTGGATTTGAACTCACCTCTCCCTGACTCCAGGCCCAGCACTATCCACTGTGCCATCAGCTGCCTGTGTGATACAGAAACCTTCCTGCCTCTTTGCACTCTGAAGCAATTTTAGTCCTTCATTCAAGAAATGTCTGTTGTGTGTCTCAAGAGTACTAAGGACCGAACAGGCCCTTTGGATGGGTCAGTGATGGCATAAATGACAGGAATATGGTCTCTCTCTTTGAGGTGCTTACAGTCTTGTGAGGGAAGATAAACAAATGAATATAAAATCAATTCAGAACCATTCAGAGTAATTAATGTATGAATTAATATAAGATAAAATATCAATTATCTATCTAAGTATAGTGGGCACCTAGACTACACTATACAGAATAACAAGAAAAACAACAGCTAATATTTACATAGGGCTACGTGTCAGGCATTTGCTTAGCACTTTTACAGTGATTATCCCACTTATCCTCACAATAATCCTAGGAAGTAGGTACTATTATTATCCCCATATTATAGATGAAAAAACGGAAACAAATAGAGGTTAAGTGACTTGTCCAGGGTCACACAGCTAGTTACTGTCTGAGGCCATACTTGAACTTAGATCTTCCTGACTTCAGGAGCTCTATCTACCGTATCACGTAGCTGCCATTAGAGTGGGGACAGGGAAGGCTTTTACAGGAAGCTGAGTTTTGAGTCAGATTGGCCACAGGTTGCCAGAGAAGGGGGTATTCCAAGTGAGAGAAAAGGCCTGGGTAAAGAGGATTACCCAGTTGGAGGCACTGTGACTTGATCCTACCAAGTAGCAAGACACATGTATGTATGGGACCCTTCAGATTGTTAAGTCCCATGCATCCTGTAAGAGCATCCTCTGCTAAGAGTAACAGATAGAAGCGGGCTGTTCTGCCCAACCACAGGATGCTCTGCCCAGACCTTGTCTGTGCCCATGGGCTCAGGGGCACTCCAGGCCAATGTTCAAACCATATATCAATAGTGTAAGTGGATCAGCTATGCAGTAGCAAGCGAGTGGCTGTACTTCTAGGAAAGTCAGGATTGGTAGGTGAGAAAAAACAAATGCAAAAACAAACAGCCAGGACTCTCTGCCATCCTGCCTACTGCCCCTACCTTATAAAATCTGCTTCTATAGAGAAGTTCCAACCTATTCCAACTGTTTGGCTGAGACAGAACTCAAAGCCACAATAAAACCGGAGTCATTTCATTATTTATAAGGATATGGCCAAGACTAGGAATAAACTACCATTTGTGACATGGGGTTAGAAGAGGAAGAGCTGAGGGCTGGCTTTGACTATGAATGACAAAGGCAGCTCTTTCTGGCTCCCCTCTAGCTCAGTGTTTGTGTAGCTCTTTGCTGGGCCAACAGCACACTCCTATGCTTGACTGGTTGGCCACTTGGTATTCAGGTTTATTTTTACGTTGATTCCTAGTGCTTGTTTGTGCCTGAGGGAGCAACAAAAACATGGAAATAAGTATTCAGACACTTCCCTTGTACAGTCATCCATGTTAATTTAACACATCAACTTAACACAAATAGCACCTACCTACACAACTATAATTAAAACCAAACCTAGATGATTTGGGGTATGAGCTTGGAGAGTATTCTGTTAAGATTTTAAAGGTGGCCCACAGCCAAGCATTCTCTCTGCCGCCACCTCCATTCCCCTTTTTTAACATCAATATTTGCAAGATCCCCATTCACACCCTGGATTAAAGAGTTATAGAGGAAGAAACCCTTAGATGTTCACTGGTTCCCTAGACTTTTCAAGTGAGGATAACTTCTTTAGGGTCAAAAAAAGTTATTACCAAATTCTCAATAACTATTACCAGTTATTACCAAATTCTCAATAAAATAATAGCAGATATAACCACAATAGTGAAACCAATAAAAAAATCCTGGGGGATCCTGTATATGGAGAGGGAAAGTCATTTTCCTGTTATAAAAAGAAAGGTTAATAAATACTTTACTTTTCCCCCTGTACGTCAATTCTTTTGGGGAACAGCCAGTGATTTTGACAGATAACATGTGTAAGAAAAAGACTTCTACAAAACCATTTTCCTTTTTCACTTAGAATATCAGCATTCTATAAATTCATAAATAATGGCCCAAGAATTTTTCTCTACTTCACACTTTCACTGTTCCTATGATTGTGATTGTAGAAGCAAAGGTGTTTTTTGAAATGAAATGAGTCAAGAAAATGAAAGATCTTTTCTATCCAGTGCCATATTTGGGGGGAGGTGGTTTCCTCTGAAGGTCTTATTCAAGGATGTGTACATCCAAGCCTGCTGCACGTAGTCTCCAAGAGGTATAAAATGGGGAACCCAAAACAAACAAATTGAAACTGCTTACACAGAAATAATTTTCAATAAAGGTATGCTAGCTGGGCAGGAAATATTCAATGGTTTGACATGGAAAACTGGTCACATTGCTTTATGACATTGGGGGGGAAACCCTGATGACTAGCTAATCAGAAAATGTTAAATAAAAGTGGGTATGAGTGAAACACTTTCTGGATCACTAAAGATGGAGCACCTCTGAAAATAACTTCGCCTTCCAAATAGTTGATTTCCCCAGTAATATAGTGAACAACACTGCCTCACGCTTTACTTTGGCTTTGGTTATATCTGAAATAATAATCATTTTACCATCCACAGGTGAAATGTGTCCACAAAGGCACAGGACACTTCTTAGCAGCAGCAAGGACGACTTAATGACTATTGTTACACTAATCTGAAAAGTAAATTACACATTTCACATTGACTGGTAAATAACTACTATAGTTTTTTCAATAGTTTAATTTTCTCAAAAATCTTTTGTGTTGAGCAGTAGCCAAAGTGGCTGGGTTCGCTGACTTTCCTTCATATTAGTCACTCCCCACATTACTTTAAAAAAAAAAAGTATATCCTAGTTTTCATCCAGTTTATCTGCCATTATGTTGATTTTATTATCAAGTCTTGACACTGATCAATGATGATGTCTACCAAAGCTTTTCAGTGGTAATTTAATAATCAATTTAGTGATTGTGGAAAGAATAGTGAAGCAGGAATCAGAAAATCTGGGGTCAAGTCTCAACTCTTACTAGCTATGTCACTTGGGTGAAGTCACTTTGAACCTTAAAGAATCATACTTTCCCTCTTCTGTAAAAATGAGGATAACATCTATCTTTGTCTAATTGACAGTTTTTGTGAGGATCAAGT